ACTCCGGATCCCTCCCGCGCACCCGGGAAGTTGTCCTGAAAAAAACCCCAAAAAAGATTGCAGGCCGGCGGTGGAGCAGCCCCCTCGTCAGAGCAGCATGTGGACTGGCTCGCAGAGTCCCCGAAGTGTTCAGTGGCTGCTGCCACAGCTGCCACCGCCGCCGTCAGCGCCGCGTCCCCTGCCCGCTGCGGGCCGCGTCTGCTCGGGAGGTGGCACTCGCTGCCGCTGCCGCTGCTGCGAAACCAGCCCGCACTTGCACCGCCGATCTCTCCGCGCTCCCTGCCCGGACCCACATGGCTTGTTACCTGGTCATCAGCTCGAGACACCTCAGCAATGGGCACTACCGGGGCATCAAAGGCGTCTTCCGAGGGCCCCTCTGCGAGAACGGCTCGCCCTCACCGGTAACCGCACGTCCCAACCCCGGGAACCCGCGCAGATTCCCAGGCAGCGGGCGCGGGGCGCGCAGACCCACAGCCGGGGAGGGAAGTGGAGAGCGGAGACCCGAGCCTTGCCCGAATGCGTATTGTGCCTGTGTGTGCGGTGTTTTGACAGACCGCTGCATAGAGAGGGGTGTATGTTGACATGTGTGTGAGGATCTCTAGTGCTACGATGCCCAGTTTTAGGGGTGCAGTGAACTGCAGGGCTGGCGAGGCAGCTTCTCGGCGGTGGCGAGTTAGGAGCTGCTGGTTGGGGAGCCCAGAAAGTTTGAGTGGCGCTTTCCGGTGTGCTTTTGTGAAGCTGTCGGTTCGGGGTGGGCTCATCACGCTGCTCTGTTGTACAGGAAAACGGGCGATGGACGGGCACAGGGAAGATGCTGGGCGACTTTACTACATAGGTTTTATTGGGGAAGCACAATATTTATGAAAACCTGAATCGGACAGTATGTTGTGGTATATGGAGATAGAGCAAAAAGTGCGATTTGAGTGGTTGCTAGTCAATGTAGTAAATTATTCAATTCTGTTTACCATTGAATCTATTCAAATGCTTTTTAGTTCCTTTGTCTGAAAAATATTTTGTTCAAACTATTTTATTGAACATAAAATATTTTTCCAAAGAGTATGACTTAAATATATCATGAATTCATTCCTTGGTAGATACTAGACTGATGTTTTACATTTTTTTCATACGTATAGCAAGATGTATAGCTGCACCTATGATGATCTGCACGATTAGTAAATGATGAAGTATCTAAACTTACAGATCAACTTTTCTAGCTTAATGAAAATAATTGGTATTTTAAATCTGTACTGTTACGAAGAGAAAAATACTAGTTACTGAGTTTTTATGTTTAATTTTTAACACTTTTAATCACAGTTAATGCTTCATTACCATTATTTATTTAAAACTTAAAGAACCATTTGATTAAATGTTACATGTGATTTACATGGGACATTTGCAGTCAGAAAGTATAATTACCCAGAGTTATCATCAAATTTCCTAACTATGGCAGACAGCCGGGTTGTTATGAGTTGAACTCGAAGCAATAGCAGTGAGTTTTTGCTTGTTTGTTAGTTTGTTCTTGTTGCTTCCGTGCTTTTATGCAGCGTAAATGTGAGTTGTGGCACCCCTCCCTTCCACTCTTCAACTATAGGTACTTAATCAGACTTGCTCAATGCAATTTGCAAGGGCGCTTTCAAGTAGAAGCATTGAGTTAGAAAGGCTTGGAGAGTTTCATTTAAATAAAGCCCATATTCAAACCTTCTGAGCCCACATTCAAGCCTTAGGTTAAATCTTTCCAGTTTTTAAAGAGTCCAGGAATGAAGTTAATGCAGTCTCAGAAAACATGTTAAAATTTAACAACCCACCTTGTCAGGAGAAACTTCCTTATAGACGTTTCCATTTAAGCCCACTTGTTTGCAAACCCCAGAGTGTTTCCACCTGTCTCATCAACACATGATTCTCAGCCCTTTGCTGGTCTTTGAGGCTGTCTTGCGAAGCATCTCTTTGACTATGGAAATCTGAATTGGATAGGGCCTGGCAGTATTGAGCCTACTGCCCTTGAGTTCAGTCCATTAAGACACATAGGAGACTTACCAGGCAGCTTAAAATAATTCATAGAGTGAAGGAAATTTTCTTCACAGCTTCTGCTTTACTTTAAACCTCCTTAAGTTCGTTAGTGTGTGGTGGTCATCTCTCAAAGATTGAAGAGTTTGCAGAGGAGGTTTCTGTCACAAACAGAGTGCCCTGCTTCTCCCAGTGTGCTCACTTCTCTCTGGGAGTCTGGTTGACCACAGGAACGGGACATGTGGCTGGGAATGTAAACTGCAACTCATCAAGTACATGGCTCTGCAGAGGACACTTTAAAAGTGCCGATTCCCTTATTTCACCATCCAAGCTCTTCCTTTTGAGGCACCGGATTGTTCCCGCCAATACCTCCACATTCAGGTGTACTTAGATAAGCACCATTAAGAACTAAAACTAAATGAGTCTGCGAATATACTTCCTAGTCATGTTTCGATATTTATCTTTTTTACATGTTACTATAGAATTTGAATGACTTTTTAAATGTTTGAATACTTTTCAAATGAAATGCATAATGTGCACAAAATCAATGTTTTGTTCATCTTCTGACACAAGCAGTTTGTTGACATATGAAATAAATTGCAATGGGTTAAGGTTAATTTAACCTTAGCCTTTCTCCTGGAGCAAAAATAGTCACTGCTTTCTAGATTCTAGACCATTGCTCTTTTGATAAATAGTTTCTGAGTCTGTAAGAGTATGTCTTTACCTTCTTCATTAATGAGTACGTTGTGAAGCATGAAACGGAAAACGTTATGGTTATACATCATTTTTCTTTTGTAGTTAGTGGTGAACACCCCCTACAATTACTTTCAGGTTGACATGAATTTATTGCTTTTCCCGCTCAGTATAAATATTAAATTCATGGATCCATAAAATACATAGTTGTCTATTTTCTTTAAAGATATAGCTACTTCAACAAGACCTTTTCAGATTTAGTGCCTAGAATGGTCTAGAATTGACCTTACAACAATGACTTGAAAAGTTTCCACATACGGAGAGACTCACTTAGCCTGGGTCTTTGCTATCATTAGTTGATTTAGCTTTTCCCTCCCTAAATTCTGCTATACAAAACTTTGACCCCGATTCTTTTAATTGAAGGGATCATCTCTTTTTATTTTGATTTATGCTGTTCTATTTAAAGGTATTCTCTTTAAATGTTTTAAAAGATAATGCATGTTCATAAAATTGAATGTAACAGAATGTTGAACAAAACTTTTATAGCATTGTTATTGAAAGAAGAAATGCTACAATTCCTTGTTTATGTAGTAAGACTTTTTTCTGTAGTATTTCTCATAGAAATAGAGGTGAATAACATCTGGGTCGATATTTTACCCTCTTGCAGATACAGTTCTTCACTTACATATTTAATTTAGTTCTATACATTTCTTACATTCAAATAATGTGCCTGTAGAATTTGCACACATGATATTAAATTGAAAATACAAAAGATAATTATTATATTTCCATACCTTTTATTTCTAAGGATCTCATTTAGAAAATAGTACATCATTATATGGAACATTTGTAATGGATACTTAATTGAATATATGAGAAATAAAACATTTCCCCCCAGACAGTTTTTAAAGATGAGTTAACTCTGCAAATCCTATTGTGAAATTCAATTCCCTGTCTTCAAAGTGAAAGCATGCCAATGTGCTGTCTGTTGCATTTCTCTTCTTATTAGAGACTGGAGGAAAAACTAGCATACGCTATTCAGTCTAATTAGAATGTGAATAATTGATTTGAGAATACTTTATATTACTTTAAATCCAAGGGATTAAAGAAAAATTACAAAAATCATTCCATACTGTTCAAGAGTAAAATTGTTATTCATCGGGGTGAGAATGTATCCTCCAACATTCAAGAGAGTTATTGTTAGGCCCACTCCAACTGTAAAATAATATAACTTGATGATAACTTTAAAAATGAGTATGAAATGCATAAATGTACATGCATGTGTATATACGTATATAAAGATAGATTACCTGTTCAAACAAGACATTATGTATTTTAAATCAACTATGACACATCGTAATGGTAAAACTTTGTTAAAGTAATTGAATTATCCATTAAAATGGACAGTGGGCCTCGACTCAAGTATTCCCTTAACACAAGAACACTTTGTTCTAATAACCCGGCATTCCATGATGGCTCACCTCCCTGACATAATCACTGAAGACAAAATGGGTGCATAAGCAAATGAGGTGAAGAAAGCTGATGGTGCCCAGCTATAAAAAATATAGCGTCTGGGGTCTTAAAAGGCTTGAAAATAAACAAGTGGCCATCTAGCTCAGAAGTAACAAAGCCCACATGGAAGAAACACATCAGTCTGTGTGATGGATCATAAGGTGTCAATGGGATCAGGTATCAGGCATTTAAGATCCAGAACAGAACCATACCCAAGGTGAATGGGGGGCAGGACATGGAGTGGAGACCTAATACCCATCTGTAGACAATTGGACATCCCCTCACATAGGGATCACAGGGAAGAAAGAGATGAGCCTGTCAGGGTGCAGAATAGCACCAATGAAACACACAAATATCCTCTAGTTCTTTGGTGTTTCCTTCAACCCACTATCAGGACCTCAATTCTACCTTACAAATCGGATTAGACCAGAGCATGCACACTGCTACAGATAAGAGCCCACAACACAGGGAATCCAGGATAGATAACCTCCTCAGGGCCAACAAGGAGAGTAGAGATACTAGGAGGATTAGGGAAGGGTGGGGGGAGGAAGGGGGAACCGATCACAAGAATCAATCTAGAACCCCCTCCCAGGGGGATGAATAATGGAAAAGTGGGTGAGAGGTGACGGAGGACAATATAAGATATGGAAATATAATCTATAACATATCAAGTGGTCATGAGACAGGGTGAGTGGGGGAGGGAGGAGGAAGAAATGGGGAGCCGATATCAGGGGCTTAAGTGGGAAGAGAATGCTTTGAAAATGATGATGGCAGCATATGTGCAAATGTGCTTGACACACTGGATGAATGTATGGATTACAATAAAAAAGATGTAAGAGCCCCCAATAAAAGTATTTAAAAAAAAAGAAGAAGAAGAAAACAAAAAAAGAAAACAGATTATATGACGAGCCAGTCAGGGTACAATATAGCACCAATAAAACATAAAACTTTCCTCCAGTTCTTTAATGCTCTTCCCCCCACCCCCCACTATCATGATCCCAATTCTACTTTATAAATCTGGATAGACCAGAGGATGTACATTGGTACAGATAAGAGCTGGAAACACAGGGAATCCAGGACACATAAACTCCTTAGGACCAATAATGAGAGTAGTGATACCAGGGGGGGAAGGGGAAGATGGGAAGAGAAAAGGGGAACCTATCACAATGATCTACATATAACCCTCTCCCTG